CGCGGCAGCGGCGGCAGCGGCTGAGCGCACAGAAAAAAGCACGTGAGTTAAAACTGCTTGAATGTGTAAACTAAACATGTGCAACATGTGCAAATGATAAAACAAAAATAACGACTTTATTCTGACATATTATTGTGACGTCATCACGCCGGATCTGGGTCAGCGCCGGCGCCGCCACACGCTCGCGTCATGGTACTGTCGTGAACGCGTGTCCAAAGTGAAGCAGTAGAGACGAAAATGTGGAATAAAGTCATTATTTTTGTTTCCTTTGCGCAAAAAAGTATTTTCGTTGCTTCGTAACTTTACAGTTTAACCACTGATGTCACACGGACTACTTTGTCGATCATCTTGGTACTTTTCTGGACCTTGAACGTGGTAGTTACCTTGCTGTCTATGGGAGGGTCAGAGAGCCCTCAGATTTCATCAAAAATATCTTAAATTGTGTTCCGAAAATTAACGAAGGTCTTACGGGTTTCGAACAACACGAGGGTGAGTAATTAATGACAGAATTTGCATTTTTGGGTGAACTAACCCTTTAATAAAATTTATAATTCTTTTAAAAGAAAAAAACTTACTGACCCAAACTTTTGAATGGTAGTGTACCATACATATATAAAAAAGCTGTTTGTAGTTTGATGTAGCATGACTGCTGTTTAAATAACTAAATTATATATAATAAACATACACAAAACAAGTGTTAACTGATAATAGGTAGAATCGTCTGCAGTAATGCACATTTTCTCCTCTGAAAATAACATCATAATGAAATTTATTTTTTAGATAAAGAAAGACCACAAGCACTAAGTTGTCGAAATTTCACAGCACTTTATATTAAACACTTCAAAGATGGTTGATCATATAGTTTCATGTGGTCAAAGTTCTTGTAGAAATATCATTACTGGTTTTACATGTACATTTTTATTACATTTAATGAATTTTACATTCATTTACATCTAAATTTAATGTCCAACAACTAATATTCACTTGAATTCATTTTTAGTTTATATTATTACAGATCAGAACAAAACCTTCAAAAGCACATTCAAGGGCACAAGCACTTTGACCACAGGTAACTATATGCTCAGCTCAACCATTTTTAAGTGCTTAAAATAAAGTGCTCCATGCTTTCCACAACGTAGGTTGTGCACTTTTAATGCAGCAGCTTTCTTTGTGGCCTTCTTGATCCATAATGCTTTTTTCATGTCAGAGCTGTGGCACAGAGGGTAGTTGCTTCAGACATATGCAGTCCTGTTGCGCTCATGGGGACCTGGGTTCGAGTTATGTCCCAGTGCTGGTGCCTCTCTCTCTTCCTGTACTTCCTTGTTGCTTCTTCACTATCCTATTAAATATAGGGATTGCAATAGCTACTCATTCAGACATTAGCATATTTTAGCTTGGTAGCTAGCTACCTTTCAGTCTCTCATTTCTCTGCAATTCACAGTGGCCACATGATCTCAGGGCAAATCTAAGTTTCCCTAGAAGATCTAAAGTAAGGAAATGTACACCTCGACTAGCCTGTGATGTTTTGGATGTGATCAAATCCATTGAGTTAGGGTGACCATACGTGCCATTTTCCCAGGACGCGTCCTGGCCAGGATTTCTATATTGCCTAAAATATCTAGGTTTTGGCTTTGTTTGCGTGTGCAGACCGATCGGTGTATGACATCAAAGTACCATACAGACGGTTATGCTTTCGAAACGCTCTCGAGGTACTTTGATGTCAAACACTGATCGGTCTGAGCCGTGCTGCTTTTAAGTCGAACACACCTAATATGTATGCGTAATTGCATCGCTTTGACCGTAGATCCCACCTTCTCACACGCCATGATTGGTCCATTAAGTACAATGCTTGCATGTTATTGGTCAAACTACTTTTCGATCATTACTTTCAGCAAGCATGAAAACAGGAAAACAAAGCCAAAACAAATCCTGGCCAGGACGCGTCCTGGGAAAATGGCACGTATGGTCACCCTACATTGAGTAGTCTAGCATGTTTCTTAGGTCGGTATACGGTAATTTCCCTTGTCAAACAAGGATTAATCAATAAAAGTTTACTAGGGCACAGCAGAATTTTACTAGGTCTAATGCTCCTGTAAAATGAGTGCCTATAAATCCTGTAAATAAAACTTTCATGCTACTAATAAAAGTGGCAAAAGGGCAAAAATACAATCTTCCAATTCCTCCTGTTCACTAGGTTGTGTACAAGCGGGCAGACATGGCGATCGGCTCTCTCACTATCAACGAGGAGAGGTCAGAGGTCGTGGACTTCTCTGTGCCCTTTGTGGAGACGGGCATCAGCGTCATGGTCTCTCGCAGTAATGGAACCGTCTCTCCCTCTGCTTTTCTTGGTGAGTTTGAGTCTCGTGCGAGCCATAATGCTTCATCATATTTGACTTTAATCAGTCTCTGCTGCATGTGATTATGATGTATGACTTTCCAGGTACTGGTACGTATCATTTCAGAGCTCATCAATCAGACTTACAGTTCCCTTTCAAAACAAACTATTTATCACACTTCAGTGAGAAGCACTAAATCAACATTTTTCAAACAAACTCAATGCTGTACATTTATTTTATTTTAATTTGTAATTTATTTTATATTTTATTTTACTTCAGAGCATGGTACTAGCTGCGTCAAATTCATGACTTTGATTCCTAGAGACTGCATGAACAGATAAAAAATACTGTACATTGAAGTTAGAGCTGTGCAATTAATCGAAAAACAGGTTAGATTTCGATTTTGACTCCCAACGATTATGAAAATGCAATAATCGAGATAAAACGATTATTGTTCCCCATTCCACCCCTTTCCAGCTGTGCGGTGCTCCTCCATAAAAGCCCAAACTTAACGTGCAAATCAGTAAAATCATGTAACATGATTTTCACAAAATGGGACATGCTTGTTTTATTAATGTTTATTAGATTTTTTCATGTTTCTCCGTGCAGCTCTTAAAGCGACAGCGGGTAATATTCCTTCTGTCATATCAAACAACAAAAGACAAAGAGAAAATCACTCTCTACTGTTGACTGAAGAACTTTTGTAACTTTAATAAGAAATAGAGCAAGTTTAATTCTTACAGTGAAGACTATGCTATTTTATTTTACATTTGATTATTCAATTTCTGTAGTATGCTGTTAGCTGAATACTTTAGACTTGCATAAAAAAACGTAAAGCACAGTTTGTTTCATTTGTATATTTTTTTTCTATTGTTTTTGACCTTTGCTTTTTGTTTTTATTGTATTACTGACAGTTTAAATTATTTTCAATAATTTTTGAGGACTTTTATCACTAATATAATGCTTTGTTCATGACCCACTAATAATCGTGATTACAATATTGACCAAAATAATCGTGATTATGATTTTTGCCATAATCGAGCAGCCCTAATTAAAGTGAAATTTAAGTCGCTTTGAATAGTCGCTAGTAAAAGTCGCTTGAAGTGTCTGCCAAATGTCAAGTTTTGTTTTGTTTTACTTTAAAATGCAATTAAAGTTGCTTTTTTAATACAGGTGTCTGCCAATTGTAAATTTGTTTTTTGTTTTGTTTTGTTTTGTTTTGTTTTGAGCATAGCACTAGCAAAGTCAAGGACATGGGACCAATTTCTAAAAGCACTTTTAAGTTGCTCTGAATACAAGTTTTTGCTGAATGTCAATTTTATTTTATTTTATTATATTTTATTTTATTTAAGAGCATAGCACTAGCAATATCAAGGATGCATGAACAGATAAAAATATATACCTTAAAATGCAATTAAGGTTGTTTTTAATACAGGTGTCTGCCACATGTAAATGTGTTTTTTGTTTTGTTTTGTTTTGTTTTTTGTTTTGCATATCACTAGCAAGATCATGAGTTCAGTTCCCAGAAAATGCATGAACAGATAAAAATTTATTATTTTCGCAAATATAACGGTGTTTTAAATTCCTAGTTAAGTTAAAAAGTTAATTTGATTTAACATAATTTAGTCATTTCCAAAGGTCACCTCCAGTTCTAATGGTTGCTATACCCCTGGTATTAATTTATGCTCTTGTGTACAAACCAAGTAAAAAAAAAATAAATAAAAAAAATACTACTAATGGTTTTGATTTCTCACTGTCCTCTCCTCTTTCTCTGTGCCCTCTCTCAGAGCCGTACAGCCCTGCTGTGTGGGTGATGATGTTTGTAATGTGCCTGACCGTGGTGGCAGTGACGGTTTTCATCTTTGAGTTCTTCAGTCCAGTGGGGTACAACCGTAGCCTTCAGAGTGGCAAGAGTGAGTCCAATTTGCTCTTAGTCCTGCATTTAACCTTTTAATAAGGTCAAACTTTGGTAGTCTCAAGCGTTATTTTAACAGACATAAATGTGCACAGTTGCTTGTGACTGAGTTTATTCAGGAGTCCTAATGGCTGAGTTCACCTCTGTTCTTTATTGGCCTGGACGTGGGTTTGGAATTTGTGGTACAGGCAGTTTCGCAGACACTCATGTATAATAAAGGACTGCAGACTTGTGCTCTGTATTCCTCTCCTTCCTCTGTTCTCTTCTTCAACCTCTGGCACCGGCACCCCTTTCTCACCTCATCATATGCATAGGAGAAGTTTAGGAAGCCTTTTTTATCAGTTTAGCAGTTTTGATACTTTTTAGTTTGTTTGGAGCTGATGAATAATTAATGTGCCTTTAAAATTCAAATCAGTGTTAAAAGTCTTTCTTTCTCTGTTTCACTTGCTCTTCTCTGTCAGAGGCTGGAGGTTCTAAGTTCACAATAGGGAAGTCAATCTGGCTTCTTTGGGCTCTGGTCTTTAATAACTCCGTTCCAGTGGAGAACCCCAAAGGAACCACTAGCAAGATCATGGTTCTTGTCTGGGCTTTCTTTGCTGTCATCTTCCTGGCTAGCTACACTGCCAACCTGGCTGCCTTCATGATCCAAGAGGAATACATTGACACTGTGTCTGGCCTCAGCGATAAAAAGGTAAGGGAATAGGGGTTTCAGGGCTTCTGTAGATGCAGAGAAAACTTGTGTTTATCAGTACGTGTAGATCAGGGCTCTACAGTGCGACTGAATTCGCACAAAATTTTTTAGAAGCACCAGTGCGACTGACCCGATCATCATCATACTTGTGATTGCGCTCAGGGGAGCTTCAAAGGTTTCTACGTCTTATTCTACTTGTTCTTATTCTGTCGTTTTAATTACAATTTTTAAAAAGCTTATAAAATAGAATTTTTTTTAAGAATTTGACAAAAGATGACATACTTTTAATAAAGTTAGAGGAGTCAAATATCACCTCGTAATGGGAAGGCTACTTTTTGATAACATTTTGGATTGATTAGAAGGTGCTCCTAAAATTTTGAACGTGCTCCTAATAAGAAAAGTAAGTGTAGAGCCCTGTAGATGGGCAAACAGTATAAAGTTTTCATAATTTGTGATGTTGTGTTGACTTGGATTTTGGTATCAAATATATTCTTGACTTCTTCAATATATAAGACTACAGAGACTAGATTGGGACTGGAAAAATTTGAGATTGACAGTAGTTTGAATCAGGGCTCTGAACCGGTTCAAGGAACGAAAACGAAAACTGGAAATGTACAAAATTTTGACAGGAACAGAAACAGAAACTAAATCAAATTTTATATTTCCGAACAGAATCGAAAATTTGAAATGGCCATTAACCGGTTAATAACGTTATTTTATCATTCCATTTAATATTTGAAATTTGCTGTCAGGAATTCAGATATGCAAATGTGACGCTGACGCATCCAACGCATGAAATGCCCAGCTCAGCTCAGCTCAGCTGTAAATTCATCATAGGTAAGTTGCAATGGCAATGCATTAGAGCTTATCCGAGGATAGTGTAAGATGGATTCAACAGATCACGAGCACCTGCAGCGCTTCTGTGAATGGAGAAAACAGAATAAAACTATAGGCTTACATAAAAAGGAATAGCCTATATTGGCCTACACTACATGTATTTCACTTAAATCATTGACAGATTAACAAAACGAAAGAAAAAAAATGTGCTGAGTTGCGGTTTATTGTGACGCGATCCAAAGTTCACGGAAAGGAAAACGAGACAGCAGAAAATAGTTTTCTTTATTTTGCAAAAGCTTTACAGTTTTATTTATTTTGCAAATCTTGACAGTTTTGAATGATGTTTTGCTTCTATCTGTATAACCAACCCGCGTTGGTATGACCATATCGCGCCAGCAACTCACGCGCACACAGACACAACATATTTTGCGGCATTGCAGCCTGTTCATTATCAAAATAAAATACAGTTAAAGAAACATTGCACTGCTCCGTTGTACAATCTGTTGCGTTCAGCGTGACCACCGCCTCACTGTGCTAGCCGATGTGAAGGACAATGTCGATGCGAGTGAAGTACAAAGCCTATTACATAATAAATGATATTTTAGCATCCAGATATGTCGCGAATATGGAAAATTTGTGTCATCGCTATTTGACACGTAGGGTAGGTCCTCGGTGAGCACCCCCTCTGCTGGATTCAGAAACCGGGTGCTCGAATTGCAGTGTTTATTTCACTCGTCGATATATGTCCAGACGGTATGATACTGACGGTACATACTTCCTGGATCATGTGGCCAGGTCACAGGCTTCTGCGGCTGTCTCAGGCAGTGCTCCCCTCACCTTAGAGGGTTGTATTTGAGATGCTTGGAAAACTCTTAAAATAAGTGCACACGTTAAGCTTTGCGCACTTTCTAAAAATCCACATAAGTGGTAAATGTGCACATTCTCTCTGAGGAGTTGGATTCCTCGCTCCATGGGCTGTCCTCGTGGTAGTATTGAGCAGTGCTCCCCTTTTATCAAAGGGTTACCTGGAATGAGCACACTATTCCTCTGAATTCGGAGTTCTCCTCTCATGAGAAGTTGAGTTCTCTGTTTTTCCAGAGCACCTGGAACCAGCAGCATCAGGCGAATTAGACCCTTCCTCTGCCTCTCTGATGCGCTGAGTGTTTGACTAGCTTGCAGTACGCTTACCCTTCTGATTATACAATCGCGCTGTAGGTCGAGCCCCCTCTCGTTGAGAGCTGGGTTTGTGCTCCCTCAGCTAAGGTAAACTACTGCTAGCCGTTCCAGCATTGGAACATGCTGTAGGTAGAGCTCCCTTCTCGACTGAGAACTGGGTGTGTTGCTCCCTCAGCTAAGTAAATTATTGCTAGCTGTTCCAGCTTTGGAACATGCTGCAGAATGATGTGTAGCTCCCGGCGCCTATTTATACTATAGTCGCACCGGTAGTGACGTCATGGCTGTCGCCGGCCAACATGTTGTTGGTGTTTTTTCAATGTATGCTTCAGACACGGGTCACGACGAGGCGTTCTCCATAGCGACCCCTAGAGGACGCAGTGTCTCGTTCCCTACTCAGGGAATCATGGTTACATACGTAACCTGAGACATTTTTTTTCCTCTCAAAAGACAATTTTATACGAGTAGCATTTTTTTAACAATGCAGAAAACATTTTTAAATATCTTAAAAAATACTTTAATGTCTTAAAAGCGTTAACAGATTTTTTTCCTTTTGTTTAGTAGCCTATAATTTGGCCAAAATCTAGAAAAGATGATGCTGTATTGGCTGTGACTAAGCGCAGCGGGTTAAGATACCAGGGCCCGTATTTATCAAGCCTCTGAGAATTACTCTCAAGAACGCTGCTAAGATTTGACTTAAGTGTAAAAAACGTATTGGCTCAAAGCTGCGCTTAATAGTTATTTATCAAGCATCTCAGTCGTAATTTAAGCGAAGTGTTAGACTAAATCTTAAGTTTCAGTCTTAAACAGGATTTTGGATGACGAAATGCGCATGGACCAATCACTGAATAGATTTCCTTATTTAAGAATATTCTCAGATAAATTCTCATTGAATGTTAAATTCCTAATAGGAGTTTACATTCAACACACATTTGACAATAAAGAGTTTTCAAGAGAATACATTATGGTAAGGAAACGAATCGTCATCACAACCTTCAATTTAGGGTTGTGCCAGTAGACGATATCGTGTATCGACGATAGTCAGATATCGCCTGTTGCTGTTTTCTTTGACGACAGCAAGACGATTATTATCATTATTATCCATCAAAAATATAGACGCCTATCTTTAGTGATGCAGCGCGGAGAGTTAGAAACTTGCCGCAGTGCGGCTGGTGAGTAGCCGTGATCAGCTCCGGTGGCCGTGTCGGAGCCGTAACGCGCCGCAGACGTGTGCAGTGTAAATAATGGGTAAGAGATTTATTCATGATACCGTGTAGGTAGCTTGACTGATTATAACGGGAGTGTTTTTAAAGAACATGTAATACTCGCGCTAGACTGAAGTCAGTTATGATGTTCTTTGGTAATGTAAATATTCTTTGCTCGTTTGGCTGGTGAGTAGCCGTGATCAGCTCCGGTGGCCGTGTCGGAGCCGTAACGCGCCGCAGACGTGTGCAGTGTAAATAATGGGTAAGAGATTTATTCATGATACCGTGTAGGTAGCTTGACTGATTATAACGGGAGTGTTTTTAAAGAGCATATAATACTCGCACTAGACTGAAGTCAGTTATGATGTTCTTGGGTAATGTAAATATTCTTTTGCTCGTTTCTGTTTGAATAACTGAGGAAATGTTTTATTAACTGCTCATCGTCAAACATTTCAAGAACATTCTTCCTCTCCTGAAGGATTCGCGCATGTCTCTGTCTCCTCAGCGCCATCACAAGCCCCTACTGGCAACTCCTAACCACTTGAGAGACCTCTCGAGCTGTCTTAAATAACTGGGAGAGTAAGAGTGATTCTTAGCTTTAAGAAATTTGATAACTTGCTTTTATGCTTAAGTTTGAAAGTAGGAGTAAATTTTATGAATTCTCAGCACTTAAGACTAAAATGGCACTTTGAGAAGCTTGATAAATACGGGCCCTGATCTCTTCCTGTTTTTTTTTTTTCTTTTCTTTTTTGAGTAGAAAACGCTGTACTTTATTATTATTATTTTTATTGTTATTATTATTATTATTATCATAGGCAAAGAAAAAGTTTAAAAAATGATGATAATAATACAGAGGAATGCAGGAACAGAAACGTTAAAATATCGATTCTGCTCGGAGTGAACTGATTGGAATTTGTTTTTTTTCGTTTTCAAGCCCAAATTGGCTACTAAGTGGATGAACTGCATGAAGTAGCGTTTTCTCACTATTTGTCTTTTGAAGTGCTGGATGCTATTATGTTGCATTTAAAATGTAATTAAGTATGTATCTGTGAGATGTGCAGTAATTTAGCATTCTAGCATGGAAATGTTCCTTTGCCCTTGGCTCTCAGTGTTGACCTTGAAGAATCTGGAGGGATTCTTGAAGAAAAAAAAAACACTTTTTTGCTGTCATGCCAAATGAATGTACTTGTGTACACCAAATGAAATGTATTTGTGTTCCATTGTGTTTGTGTCATTTTCAGAAAAGAAGCTACATCAAATCTGGATACTTAAAGCCATTTAACTTTTGTTGGTTCTTTTTTCTAAGTGCCTCATGTTAATTTTATAATCCCTTTTTAAATGAAAATAGTTTCCCCCATCTGCTTCACTATTGTTCTCTTTTGTTAAAAGCAGAATGAAAACAATGTGCATGTCAGCACTGCTGCTTTGTATATTGTTCTGTGTTTATGATGTATTATACTTGGTTTTGACAGCTGCAGTAGCTCTAGACTTGTTTGTAACATAAATTCACTGTCACATATCATTCATGTTGAAGCTTACAGTATTTTTTTCATCATTCTCTATTGTTAGTCCTCTAATTACTTTGAAAAAACAAATGCAACATCAATTTCAATCACTGTTTCATACTGTGTTCCCCTCTCTCAGTTTCAGCACCCCACAGATCAGTACCCCCCTCTGAAATTTGGAACGGTCCCTAACGGAAGCACAGAGAAAAATATCCGCAGTAACTATCCAGACATGCACCAGTACATGATCAAATACAACCAGAGAAGTGTGGAGGATGCCATCTCCCACCTCAAGACTGGGTCTGTGCTGGATTTTTTACTCTCACTGACTTCCTATATTGTTTCTCATGCAGTTTTGAATTTCGTTTTGTTTTGTATTATGCTTTTTAGTTTTAATGGTGCATAGATAGTTCTTGTTTGTAATTTAGAAAGTTTTTCAGCATTTAAAATCACTAACTTCCTTGGCTTTTATCAGCTAAGCAATAATATGAAAAATAAAGTTAAATTGTTAAATAATTCTGTTTAGATTTGATTTGCATTGGTTGTAAAGCACATTTATAGTTCAAGGGATCAAGTGATAGTGTTTTGTAAGGTCTTTATTTTGCCTAAAGCTATATAATATATGTAGTATATATTCAAGACAAACAAAATGTCCATCCTACATTTAATTTCTTTTGGCCCAGTTTGCTCAAAAATCTACAACTCCAAAATGTCAGATTTTCATAAAATGACAGTAGGACAGTAGGTGAGGCTGTAAGGTATTAAAATGAAAATATGAAAATGGTTGTGTCTCTAATCTCTAATTGTCCTGAAAAACTGACCATCTGAAAAAATATATATATTTTGGGGGGGGAAAAGTAGTTAAACAAGTTCTAGCAATGCTTAAAACTTGATAATTGCTGCTTGCATCTATATTTTCAGTTTAGCATTCATTCATTTGCCAGATTATTTATACAGTTTTTCAGTTTACGGAAACACTTGTGTTGTGCATTTAGTTTCTGTCTCTGTAATAGTTTTCATAACAACAATAATAACCTTGTTTCCAACATGTTATCTAACATCTCTCGCGCTTCCACTCTCTTCCTTACACCTCCCAGCCCCATGTTGCTCTGACAAACAGGAGTTCCTTCACGATGTGTTTTTTCCCTCCTCCCACAGTTCCTCTCTCAACCCTGTACACCTCACACACTCTTCCTCTATTTATCATGAGTTGTAAATCCACACCATGGTTTTCCTGAGCCTGTCATTTCCTTATCCATTTTTAGCAAAAAACGTGATAATATAATGCCGGCACACAGCAAATTTCCTCTCTGCTCTCTTTCTGTCTGCCACCCTACTCCATCTCACGCTCTGTCTCCTCTGAATCCGACTCTTCCTGTCTGTGTTTGCAGTAAACTGGATGCCTTAATCTATGATGCGGCTGTATTAAACTACATGGCTCGTAAAGATGAAGGCTGTAAAGTAATGACCATCGGCTCAGGGAAAGTATTCGCCACGACTGGTTATGGCATCGCCCTGATCAAGAACTCCCGCTGGAAACGGCCATTGGACCTGGCCTTACTGCAGCTGGTGGGCGACGGTGAGAGTCTGAAGGTTATGCAGTATCAAAGTGCTAAAATTAGGGGAATGTATATTAGTGCATTTATGCTGTTGGGCTGGAGAAGATAAAAGCCTTTGGGAGATTAAAGTCTTTTTATGCATATTTAACAAGACTTCATTCATTAGCCTGTACTGCTAGCTTTAAGCCATCTTCCCAGCCATCTTGGTGTAATCCAGTTTCCTTGACATGATGCAATATGTATCTTTGTTGTCTAGCAGGTGACATTTTTATTTGTGCTAGCAGGCTGCTTACTGATTTAAAGGAGATGATAGCAACCTACTGATGCATAAAAGAGATGGGCATGTATCAAAGATTCAGTCTTGGGAATGACAGAAGTGGTGTGCGGGAGAGAGAAATAGAGAAAGAAAGACTGTGTTGTGTTCCAAAACCCATTGAGCTGCCTAAGAGGCAGGGTTTTAAAGCATCAAGCTGTGTCAACTGCGCTGTGTTTTTTGTTTGTTTGTTTGTTTTTTAGAAAAATCTAATTATTTGAATAGGGATCTACGTGATCAGGAATTTCGTGTGAAGTTGAAAAATTCACCCATGCATATTTTCCAGCTGGTTCAAGTTGTTCAAGGCACCATCGCATGTACCTTTATAAGAAAGAACATTTTAGAATGCACTGCAACAAGCTTAGTGAAAAAAGAAATTCAAAATGACGCACAAGGCAGGAGAAATGTTGATTATAAATACCCTTATTCATCTTTCATTTCTGAAAAGTATCAATAAAAATACTTAAAGGGATAGTTCACCCCACAATGAAAATTCCCTCATGTCGTTCCAAACCCATAAGACCTTTGTTCATCTTCGGAACACAAGATATTATTGATGAAAATATAAAGAATATCTCTTTGGATTTGAAACTTTAGTCTTTGCAACTTTACAGATCTTCTTTATGCACCAAGAGCTTGTAACACTCCAAAGAGAAAGGAAAAATTGAAATCGCATCATATGACCCCTTTAACAATGTCCTTACTACCTTTCTGCGCCTTGAACGTGTCAGTTACGTTGCTGTCTATGCAAGGTCAGAAAGCTCTCAGTTTTCATCAAAAATATCTTAATTTGTGTTTTGAATGGCGGTCTTACAGGTTTGGAATGACATGAGGGTGAGTAATTAATGTAATAATTTTCATTTTTGGGTGAACTATCCCTTTAAAATGTATAATTTTATCATTGTGTGCTGTGTATTGTTATTCTTATTAGAGCATCAAATCATTAGCTTAGCAACATGCTAACAGCAAACTATTGTGAGTTGTTTCTCCTGTGCTGTTTGTATGGTGTACACAAAGCATTCTATGACAGTTGGGATGATGTCTTTGAAGGCAGTTGCCTGTGTAGGCAGCAGCTCACTAGGTTTTGGAACCGAGCTATTGTGTGCTATGAGTGAGATGTGTGTATTGAGTGACTGTCCATTCTCACACTCCTTAGAGGATTAGCTGTTACGGATTTGCGATGTCAGAGTGGAACGCATCTGATTCAAATGTGCTTGTCCAAGTACTAATTCTTTAATTGTCATTTATACACCCTCCTCCTTGCCTTCTCCCAACACACACATACACAAACACATATACGCACTAGCTATCTCACAGTGTTTTGTTTCAACTGGATGGTTTATTTGATTGCTGTTTAAATCCTCTTTGGCTTTTGGTGCGTCAGAGAGAGAGAGACTGAAAGAATGTGTGTGTACGCCAGGTTTCCACAGTGAGATCGTCACACTGGTGCCAGGTTCCATTAGCTAACACCACCGTTTAACAGCTGAGAAGCTTTACATGTGAAATGAACAGTGACTTTTTTTTTATTCATCTGGTTGGTGGTTGTTGAGGCGTGGGTGATTTATCTGATGTTATTTTCTGAATTCTGTCCTTGTTTTAACTTTAAAGTGTTAAAAAGCATTGTGAGGTTTTGGGGGGATAATGAGCTACTATTATCAAAATATTTTAGTCTCGTTTAACAGATTTCTGCTATTATAGACCATTTCAATGCAGTGATGTCATTGACCCTGCTTGTCATGAAACTATTTTAAAACATTAACTGGAGGCGATTCAGTTGTAACTAACGTTAACAAGGCTATCATATCATGTTCTTATCAAAAAGTGGACCTTTTTGAATTCTCAGAAATTATGAAAAACAAAAATATTAAACCAGAAATGTGATAGGACCATTGCATTAGATTGTTATCGTTTACATCCCTCAAAATGGTCTATAATTGACAGCACATGTAATCACTCTCTTTTTTATCAGGTTGTTTCATTGGACAATCATGAAAGACCATGTCAGTGTTTTTGTTTGAGTGGGCAATAGATTGCACAAATGTTTGCTTCTTCTCTGCATTAGAATATTTGTGGAAGGCATATCAACATAACGTAAAATGTGCTATTCTTAACTGATAAAATTGTGCCAATCCAGTCAATTACAGTAGCTCTGAAGCTTAACCATGTGAGAAGTTACTACAGAGGTATTGAGTCGTTTTTTTGTTGTACAACCAACAACTAGAACTTTTATGTTTCCATAGAGCCACAGGAAACCACTTGTCCATCTACAGCCTTTTCATGTCTTTTAAACACCGCAGGTAACCTTATTGGTCAGTGCCACGCAAAAAGCACTTCTTAACTGCTAAAAGCCTCTGTTATTTTATCTCAGGGCCAGCAGCTTTCTTTGCAGTGGTCATCTCGAATAGAAGTCCTCTCACCTACTAATAGGGATGTAACGATTCGCTCAACTCACGATTCGATTCGATTCACAATTTTGATTTCACGATTCGATTCGATTCACGTTTTTTTTTAACAAAATGAGATTTAAGACAAATTATAAATTGGGCCTTTTATTATTGCTTGCACAAAATGCTGCACGTTTCTTTGTGAAATTGAAATAACACTATAATAATATACTAATATAGCACTTCCATATTATTGCTCTTTTGTTGGTTTTGATTGCTTCTATTGTCCTCATTTGCAAGTCGCTTTGGATAAAAGTGTCTGCTAAATGACAAAATTTAAATATAATGTAAATGTAAATAACAAAACTAAATTTAAATTTTAAAACAAGCCCCAAATCAAATAAATAAGTAACACAAATAAAATAAATCTCTTCATATAAACAAAATAAGGCTTTGTCTGTGCTCTTTCCATTTAAAATTAGAGGCAACCAATCTGTTTATAAAAGTGTTGACCTTTAAGGCCGATCCAAGAGCAGTGTTTGCTTTAGCGTGATAGTGGTTTGGGTCAGGGCGGGATCAGAGGGGGCTGTACAGGGAACGGTGTTTGAGGTCACGCAGATGGCACAGACTGGCTGTCTGCCTGAGCTTAAAGACCTTGCTAAAGTATTAACTGTTAAAATGTGCCCACTTAACCATGCCAGCCCTGAGCTCCGTTGCCAAACAGAAGCTGCTATAGCAAGAGCAAAAGTGTGAAAATATGTGTACGTGTGTTAGAATTTGTACTATACGTGTGGGTGTGTATTTGTAAAGCTGTGCAAGTGTGTGAACGATGTCTGTGTGTTAGCATATACTGTAGCTGTGTGTGTATATGTATGTTCCCAGTATGACACACCTGCTGAGTTGCTGCTGGCTGTGGTCAGTGAAGTGGTTTGCCAGAGCCACTGGCAGGAGTCAGAAGGAGGTGAATAGACAGTGTCAACAGAGTGAGGCAGAGCTCGGATCCGAGCCGGGCTCGTGCTGTTATCTGTTCAAGTCCCATGTGGAATTCAGCCTGCGCTTCTTCGTCCTGCTTGACTGCATTTTCTTTTGTGAAATGCTTTGTGATGTGTCTGCGGCATCTCATCTGCATTGTGATTAATGCCCACAGGTTGCGCTTGCTGGATAGTTTGTTTTGATAGCATAAGAGACAGACGCCATAATTCAACCTTTGTGAGAACAATGCAACTGTCATTTACAGTGTGATGGGTGATGATGTGCTTTTATTATGTTACACAGCATTGTTTTGAGATGGCCCAAGGTGAGATAACGTGGTGCTGTTGGCCAGTCCTCATCAAAGCAGTAAATGCTGCAGTACATGCCTCTATCTAGAAAGGTTTGGGGTAATTCACAAGCTAGTCTTTCTGTAGATAGAAGGTGTGATTCTGATTTTCTCTTGAGTTTGCAGCAGGCCTGACCATCTTCCGACACAATTAAATGATTATGATCTCACCCTTTCACCGTTCTGTCTCCCTGTCTGTCCTCTTGTTTTTCCACCCTCTGCCTATCACTCTGTTGCTCCTTCTATCTTATTTCATTTTCCCTTTTCTGTTCCATCTTTCACACCCTCATGCACACACTGAGACCAACATAAACAATGGACATATACTCTTGTTTCCCCCTGTTGCCATCTGTCTTCATCCCACTTTTTATGTTAACATCCCCCTCTCTGAATAGAATAGGTGCTTCTGCTATTTGTCATAATGACAAAGTCACTCTCTTCTTCTTTTCCACCAGCCTTTTACTTATTTCTCTACATTCTCTCATTTCCCATGATACAATGCAGCATTGAAAAGACAAAGAACTTTGCTCTCCATCCTTTTTTGTCTTCTCATTTACCCTCTGAGGAAAAGAGGATATAGGTAGATCATTACACAGGACCTAGCCTTTGCTAGCCTACAGGCCTCTTGCTGTCTTCCTCTTTCTTTCACTCTTTCAGGATTAACAGTCTACTCCTTTTGATCAGCAACTAAACAGACCTTCACAGTAATGTTTTTTTTACCCACTGGGACCTGTTTAATAGACATCTGACCTGAAATGTTTTCAATATAGTACTCTAAAGATCTCAAAATAGCACCTGACTTACTATAGGTTTACACACGTTTAGTATTAGCATCTGTTTCCTGCCACAACAGGCATGTGGGAGAGGCAAGTCACTACCATACTGCATTCATACATGTTTTATTGATGCATCTGTGCCAAGTAGTTGTATCACTTATTAACAGAGAAAGCGAGTAATGCTAATGCCTTGTCTTTCTCTTCCCTTTCCACTCAGATGAGATTGAGATGCTAGAGCGTCTCTGGCTCTCAGGGATCTGTCATAATGATAAAATTGAGGTGATGAGCTCCAAACTAGACATAGACAACATGGCTGGTGTCTTCTACATGCTACTGGTGGCCATGGGCCTAAGTCTGCTGGTCTTCGCCTGGGAACACCTGGTTTACTGGAGGCTACGGCACTGCATGAGCAAAATGGGCCAGTCTGGCAAACTGGACTTCCTACTCGCCTTCAGCAGGGTGAGAGAGAGTGTGAAGTGAGAGAGTGACTGATTAATAGTCACTAGAAATTTATTTGGAAGCATTTGGGTAAATTGAGAAGGACTGTGACATGGACTATGCCTGTGGTATTACAGATAAGATGAGAGTGATGCTTATGTAATTGACACTGATTTGCCCATATTATCAGAATATGACTTATTTCACTATTATATCTTTGTTGTTTGTACTCTTAGGGAATGTATAGCTGCTGCAGTTTTGAAGATGAAACTGCACAAGGTGGGGCTAAAGTCACAGTTCCTGGCCACCATCATACTGCCATGGTTCCTGCTTCTTCCTCACATGTGGTCACTTCAGCTGTATCCACTTCAGCCATTGCCATGGTGCAGCAACAGCAGCAGCAGCAACCACAACAGCCTCAACCTCCTCAGTCTTACAAAACACCTCTTCCTGGATCCCCTCCCACAATTGTTCATTCTGGAGCGACCTTGGGTCCCACAAATACTCAACTTGTAGGAGCTCCACTACCATGCACTACTTTCTTACCCCGGCCAGATCGCAGGTTGGCGGTTGTGGACCGCTGGAGACTACCCAAAACCACTAGTGCCACGACCTCCATGGGTGTGAGAGGAGCTCTAGCAGAAACAGGACCCCTGCCTCAAAAGGTGGCACCTACCTGGGCAGGTGGTGGAGGTGCAGGTAGTGGTCTAGATGGATATAAGCGCTACTATGGACCTATTGATCCAGAGGGACTTGGGCCATGTGTGGACCAACAGACAGGCTCTCAAACTCCCAAAGCAGTCCCCAGAGCCCACCAACAACCCCCACCAACTAGTGTGGTTTTCTATCAGGAGAAGGGCATGGACCATGGCATGGGGAAGAAGGTGGGAGCGGGTACTGGTGGAGGGGGTCAGGGTAGAGGGGTTAAATCTCTGGGGACTCCCAGGCTTCCTCCTAAAAGCCAGGCCCCAGCCTCACTGACACCTAACCCCCCACTGCAGCACCCCTCTCCCCCTCTCCCTTCATCCTTCTGGAGGAAACGGCGACCAAAAAAGCCCAAAGAACCTGGTGGCCCATT